TCGTACCATTCGGCACGACATACAGTTGCAAATCCACCTCTACCTGTCAGTTCAATATAATCGAATTCATCATGAAAAATCCATGTTAACTGGTATTTATTTTCCATCAATATTTTTCTCAAATCATCTTCAATTTCTAAATTATACATCCATTCATTTGTAGCTAATATTTATAAAAATTTAATATTAAATTATAAATAAGTTAATAACATTATTAAATATGGTTTATAAAAACTTAATTACCTGGGACACTTGAAGATCAAGGAACCCAGTGATATCTTCGTGTTAATCACATCACATGAAATCAAGCAATACGTCATTTGTTTACTAGCACTAAACAAATTAGCCTAAACTAACCTATCACCTAACTCTAACACTAACCCTAACGTAGGCCGAACACTTAATCATGTGATGTGATTATCACGAAGATATACTGGGTTCCTTGATCTTCAATCTTCCCAATTACCTAATGTTAAATCCTTTTCCCTAATCAACGATTTAATATATATAAAGTTATTAAATAAATATATAATATCGATACATAACGCATGAACGTTGTAATTTATTAGAGACATGTACGACTCAAATTACCAATCTAATATCAAGATCAGATGTAACTTGAAATTTCACTTGTAAAATTACCTTTTTAAAAAATTCTTAGTTTATCATCCTGCATAATCTATTCTAACTTTAGCCTGCCATTACCACCAATCGTTCAATTACACCTGATCTTATTATTTGGTAGTGGCATCACAAGACACCCGCGCAAATTTAAACACAAAATAAAATTACCTTTGATACCAATATTTGGCTTTAACTAGATCTCTTACTATCCCAATTCCATTCCGATAACATTCTGCAACCCTTGACATCCCATTAGCATATTCTATATCTGCAGATTTCTGATAATAAATGAAAGCCTTATGTTCATCCTTTTCAATTCCCAATCAATAATGATAATAATATCCAACATTATATATTCCAAAGGCGTACAAAAACAGTATAAACTATTGAAATAACAATCATATAATAATCAACCACCAACACAATACACTAATAAGCACTAAATCAACAATAATCCATTATGTATACAAATTATCCTATCTAGTTCTCATTCGATTTCCTACTTATATTTACTTGAACTATTTGTTAGCTATCTTCCCTTGTTCCTGGTTTCTAGCGCGCAGCTACCTTATTTTATAATATTGATTAACCAATCCTTCGATAAATTACTAAGGTGAATACAAAGTTTAATTTGATTTAATTTAATGATTGTATTTCAAAAGAATGTGTAATTAACTATAATTATTCAATTGTTCAAATAAATTACTGGGGTGAGTACAAAGATTAATTCGATTCGCTTTAACATTTGTATTTCAAGAGAATGTGTGATTAACCATAATCATTCAATCGCTCAAATAAATTACTAGGGTGAAAATGAAATTTAATTCAATTCACTTTAACGATTGTATTTTAAGAGAATATATGATTAACCATAATCATTTAATTGTTTAAATAAATTGCCAGAATGAGTATGAAGTTTAAATTGATTCACTTTAATGATTGTATTTTAAAACATTGATAACTATAATCATTCAATTGTTCAATAAATTACAAAAGTGAGTATGAAGATTAATCTGATTCACCTTAATGACTGTGTTTCAAGAGAACATGTGATTAACCATAACCATTCAATCATTAAATATATTACTAGAGTGAATACAAAGTTTAATTCGATTTACCTTAACAATTGTATTTCAAGAGAATGTGTGATTAACTATAATTATTTAATCATTCAAATAAATTACCAGGACGAGTATGAAGTTTAATTCGATTTGCTTTAACGATTGTGTTTCAAGATATAGATTAATCCTAATCATTCAATCATTCGAATAAATTACTAAGTGAGTGCAAAATTCAATTCGATTCGCTTAATGATTTTATTTCAAGAGAACATGTGATTAACTAAAATTATTTAATCGTTCAAATAAATTACCAGAGTGAGTATGAAGTTGAATTCAATTCACTTTAACAATTGTTTTTTAAGATATTGATTAATCATAATCATTAAATCGTTCAATAAATTACCAGGGTGAGTACAAAGTTTAATTCGATTCACTTTAACAATTGTGCTTCAAGTGAACGTGTAATTAACCGTAATCATTTAAACATTCAAATAAATTACCAGTGTGAGTATAAAGTTTAATTCGATTCACTCTAAAGATTGTGTTAAAAGACATTGATTAACCATAATCATTCAATTGTTTAATAAATTATCAAGCTGAGAATGAATTTTAATTCTATTCACCTTAACAATTGTGTTTCAAGAGAACATGCAATTAACTGTAATAATAATTCTAATGCAATAAACTCGACTGTGACTACATACTGTGATATTCGAATAGCAAGTTCTATAATAGAAATTTTTACTTTGAATTATAGTAAAACTTGACAATCTCAACTGAAACCACATTAATAAATAATTCTGATGAAACTTATTAAAAATTAATTATATATCGCACATATTGCAATAAATAATAAATTCTGTAAAAAATCTTTAACAAAAATTAATTAAATAAGATGGGTGGCATGAAGTGCCACCTATTGAGCTAGTTATATTATAAAATTAAAATCTGATCTATTTGAGATTTGTAAGCATCATTTAAGAATTTTTATAATTACAATATTAGAATTCTGTTGATAGTTTCATGGATAAGATTAAAAAAGAAAGTGAGAGCGAGAGTTTTTGTGAAGGTGTAATTGATTTAACAATCGATTCTTTCTTAGAATCTGATTTTCCAGTTATTGAGTTGATATTCTGGTAAGATGAATGTAGTACAAAATTTTTTGGTTTAGATTTATCCAGGATAGTTTTTTTTAATTAATAAAAAGTCATTGGCATTATTTTTTTAATGAAGTGAATTTAGTCATGATGTTAAAGTTTCTTTTTTTACAAAAAATGGTTGTAATATTACCGATATATTTTAATAAAAGTTATATACAATTTATTAAAGATATTTGATCAATTTCTTTATTTAGAATGAGGATTTAAATTTATCAATTAAAAATGATGAGCATAAAATTTTTTCTGAAGAACCTGTTATCAACTATTTTACTAAAGAACTTACTGTTAAAGATTTACATTTCTCTGCTGTCCCTATTGAATACCCAGCTACATCAAATGAAGGTGTTGCTTATATTTTTAATATAAACTCATCTAATCTGAATGCACTATTTAATGATATAAGCAAAATAATTACACTGTATATTGTCTAAAAATTATTTAATACTAAATTTTAATTTTTTTTTAGATACAATATTTAATGGAAGGAGGTGGTGGCTCTAATAAAATTAGATGCCCATATTTAAATTGCAATATAAAAAAAGTTTTCATAAATACACAGAAGTTAAAATTTGTGAATATATAGATAATAGTATTAAAAATGTATCACATTGTAAGATTAATAAAAATAAAGATTTTTTTATAATTAATCAGCCAGGCAAATCTCAAATATCTATAGAGGCTCAAACTTATGCATAAGAACTCTTATAATAATTAGAGATATATAATCTAAAACTAGTTCTCTAAATAATATTATAATTTAAATAAAGCAATAATTTTTCTATAAAGATTCTAAAAATCATATATAGTATATGGAATAAACAATTCTTGCTATTACTAATAAATACTTTTAATATACAAAATTAGCAAAATAAATTTTTATTGAAAATCAATACTTTAATATAAAAAAACACCCACATTATATAATTGCATTATTGTATAACTCAAATCCCAATATTTTAAACTCTGCTAGTGTCTAGAAATATATAATAAAAAATAAATATATTTGATATATAGATATTCCAATCTGAAATAATTTTATACTTACGAGCTAAAACAATAATTTAATATATATATAGTATATTTGATTAGAGAAATTTTATTCACTTATAGAAATTCCAATCTGAAATAATTTTATACTTACCAGCTAAAACATTAATTTAATTAGAGGAATTTAATTTACTTATAGATATTCTAATCTGAAATAATTTTATACTTACCAGCTAAAACAATAATTTAATTCATATAAAGTATATTTGGTTAGAGAAATTTTATTCACTTATAGATATTTCAATCTGAATAATTTTATACTTACTTCCTAAAACAATAGTTTAATTCATATACAGTATATTTGATTAGAGAAATTTGATTTACTTATGATATTCAATCTGAAATAATTTTATACTTACCAACTAAAGCATAATTAATTCATATACATTATAGTTGATTAGAGAAATTTTATTCACTTATAGATATTTCAATCTGAAATAATTTATACTTACTACCTAAAAACAATAATTTAATTCATATACAGTATATTTGATTAGAGAAATTTTATTTACTTATAGATATTTCAATCTGAAATACATTTATACTTACACCCTAAACAATAATTTAATTAATATACAGTATATTTGATTAGAGAAATTTATTCACTTACAGATATTTCAATCTGAAATAATTTTATACTTACCAGCTAAAACAATAATTTAATTAATATACAGTATATTTAATTAGAGAAATTTTATTCACTTATAAATATTCAAATCTGAAATAATTTTATACTTACAAGCTATACAATAGTTTAATTCATATACGGTATATTTAATTAGAGAAATTTGATTCACTTATAGATATTCCAATCTGAAATAATTTTATACTTACGACCTAAAACAATAATTTAATTCATATACAGTATATTTGATTAGAGAAATTTTATTTAC